TTGTGGCTCCCACATGCTAAGAACAAGAGGCACGACGACATCAGCTAAAACGGCACTGCCATTCTAGCCCTTGTCTACAATTAGGATACCCCATGTGAGGAAGCCGTACATGAGTACTGTCATTTTCATTCTGAAGCAAAAACTTGTGTGGGCTTTTACCCTCATAGTGTGCGCAGTCAATCTATCACCAAATAACTTGAAATAAGCTCCATCTCCATGCAAAGTTGCAAACTAAAGAAGGGGGAGACATGAGCAGTGCCCCCCCTACTTTCTCCCCTCCCTCCCTGAAGGATCTCACCACTTCAGGATATCCAGGATTTTCAGCCCCTCCTCCTTTGAGGATCCTGAAGGCCCTGAATTCAAGGAGATGAGAGTCCTCTCCTTGTTGCCACTTCAGGACTTTCAACCCTCTGATGAGAATATTCAGAACGTCATTGACCACATGTGCTCAGAAAGCGTTCAGTTGTCTCCCCTCTGTAAAATAGGTGATCTGCCCCCATGTACAAGAAGCTCATCACCTTGAGTAAGGCATTGTTCAGTCTGTTGGAAAACAGGACTAGCTTAATACTGAAGGACAGCACACACTCACAATTGCCTAGATGACAATGATCCTCCTTGAATAATGCCCGTCTTGATTGGAATGCAGTCAGACTTGGGTGCAAATAGACAGAGAATAGGCACTGCCAATTGATGTGTGAAAAATTCCAAAAATATGTAGTGGTGATGTGGAGATGACATTGCTTTTGGATGTATAGACCAGGGCTGGGCCGGCAACCAGCCGGTTCAGCTTGCCCGGTCCAACCGGAGCCGGCCCAGCCCAGGGGGGGTGAACTGGGAAACCGGTTTTCAAAATATAAACTTAAAAAGCCCAATTCTCTCTTTTATTTTTTCTTTTTCTTTTTAGCGGATTCTGACTGCGCTCTTCAAGAGCTGTCGAAATCCGTAATAAAATTTTGAAGGTCCAAATTAGTTTCGGGGGTGCCCCGGGGGGAGGTGGGGATATTATTGGGATATTCACGAAGGTGTCTCTTTCAGGGGGAGGGGTCGAGTAAGCAAGGTTACTTATCCGACCCCCCGTGGCCCAAGAACTTCAATTCAGTAGCAGAGGGGCATTCTGGACTATGCCAACAGTCATCAGAATCCTGCAGCCTGAACGAGAGATGATAGGAGTGGATCCTTGCCAAAACTTATAGCTTTTCCAACAGGGCTGTGCCGGCCACTGGCCGGTTGGACACACGGTGGTCCAACCGGAATTCCGGTTGAGTCCAAAACTGGGTCAATTTGAAAACATGGTTGGACTGCGCTCGCCGAGATCTCCCCAAATCCGCAAAGAAAACTTTGAACAGAGAACTTTCTTTTTTTTTTTGGGGGGGGGGGGGGGGGG